TGATTTTGGAATACTGCAAGTCTCCTGAAACACAAGGAAGAATGTCTAAGATATTTTCTTTTTTGCACAAACTAAAAATTGTGTATTGATATTGAGTTACTAGTTCTCACTGTGCTTTCTAATTACAGTTTAAAAAAACACAAAAGTTAAATAGATGGTGTGTCATATGCAGAACTTCCCATACATGAACAGTTTTAAAAAATGGTGTATTAACAATCCTAAAATGCTAGATCTGTCTTGGTGATGCTTCAATCTGGAACATTCCCGGAAAAAGTAATTTTTCTCCTTCTTTTTTTTTTTTTTTTTTTTTTTTACATCCAGCCTCAGATGTTTACAGCATAATATCTGGTGGAGGAGATGGTAGCATCTAAGGACATCTCTGTTGTTCAGTGTCATAGATTTTGTGGCAAAGAGGCAGTAGTTGCTTGTCACAGTGATGAGCTGACTGGGTGCTGCAGAAGGCAGGTACAGTACCCAAACTGTACTTTGACACACTGTGAGAGCTGAGGGGCTGCAAGCTCTTAATTCTATTGCATCAATTTCATAACTTGCAGGATAATGGTTATATGCCGCTGTATGCTCAATTAAAGCACGTACTTTTTTAGTTATGGCATGTGGCAAATAAAACAATGAAAGCAACTGCAGTTTCCCTCAGCGCATGAAGCTGTGTGTCATAATTGCCTGCTCCTGGCAGGTTTACAGGGCAGCTTTTAAGAGAAAGCAGAAGCTGAGTTCTTGCAATTCCTTACTCTCCTAAGCCCAGCTTTGGAACTTCATGGGAAAATGTGGCCATTCTCCTTTTGTTGTCTGCTTAGAAATATACCTGTACTCATGCAAGGCATTTTACACTGTCACACACAGCATCCTTGTCTCTAAACCGGAGAGGCATAGATTTGACATTTGGAACACTCAGTGGATAAAGGAATTAGCTGGATGGTTGCACTCAAAGTGGTATGGTCAACGGCTCGATGTCCAAGTAGAGATCAGTGAAGAGTGGTGTCCCTCAGGGATTGTTGTTGGGACTGATACTGTTCGACATCTTTGTTGGCAACATGGGAAGTGGGATTGAGTGCACCATGTCCCAGTTAAGTCCGTTACAACCCAAATCACAGTATGAGTCTATGAAAAATGATAATTCTATGAAATTCTATGATAATTCTATGAAAGTCTATGATAAACTGACTCTGTGATGAAATTTCTCAGTACAGGTCTTTTTACAGAATGAATCAAAGATGCTACTGTTCTATGTTTTAGGGAAAAATTATTTCCTAAATGACTTTGTGATAATAACTTGAGCCCTTCTTCCATAGCATATGTTCGTCTGCACTGTTGGTTGAGTACCTTGCATACAGCCAGTGAAGCTTGCAGGGCCCTGTGAGGAGTGTGGCTCAGAGCACCTAAATTATATACCAAAAGCAGTAAAGTAGAACATGTTCCTGGTGCTTTCAGGTTTTCACTGCCTTTTATGGAAAGCTAGACATTATTTTGATGTTTTGACTTGGAATTGGGGGAGTTTACTCTGCTTACTTTTTATCAATGAAGATAGTTCTGTAGGGCTTTGTTTGTAAGTTCTCAGTAAGCTAATTGCATCTTCCCACCTTAAAGTGTTAAGAAGGTTATATTCACAGCACAGTTAGAGTGATTACTAGTTATTTTCTGCTAATAACTGTTTGACTAGGAGCACTTCAAAGATTCTTCTCTTTCTTGTTCAGTATGCACTTGCAGGGTGTATGAATGTTGTGTCTGATTAGAACGGAATCATGAGACAAAATTCACCAGGATAGCAAAAGAGCTAGACAGTACCTTCTATTTCTTTTTTTTTTTATAGAGTAAATATATCACTGGGGCATAGAAGAATGTATGTTCTAATTGTCTTGGCAGGGTGGGGGAACTCTGGCCTGTGGCATATCTTCTAACAAAAATTGCTGCAGTGTTGTCATAAATTGATTGGAAATATTTTTTCCTCACATTACTCATGGGATGTCAACAAGTATGCAAATGTGAAAATTTAACATATGTCTCCTTGCAGCTTTTTCACAGTTTCTCACGCCAGTTTAGCAGTTTTAAAATGCCACTTCACATGCATGTCCTTTAGTTTTGAAGACAGTCTCACAATTATTGTCTTAGTCTTCTGCTGAGATGTTAAACAGTTTATTCCTTTGTTAAATATACACACTTGGACTGTTCCCTAATTTTTATTTTATGCTGTAGTTAACGTTCATGTATCTGGTAATCCTCCTTTTGTAACACAGTGTTGCATCTTTTTGAGGTTTCTTTGTTGTCTTTCCTCAGAGCATCAGTTTGCATTGATCCTTTTGCTGCAAGTAACACAGTGAGGCATTAGTATCTTTCTTTTGATCTCTGTGGTAAATGTATTTATTTCTGAATGAAGCTATAATGTTGTTATACTTCTGTAAAGGCTTCCTGAGAGCATAATAACCAGGTATGGGCCAGTGATTTAGATCTGATAAGACCCAATCAGGTCATTTTGTGTTGTGCCTTCTGATTCACATCCGTTTGTGGAAGGCGGTCCTGGCTTTCCTGTCACAGGAGCCAGGTAGTCCCCTTGCCAGCATGGTCCAGCTCTTGATTTACTGTAAGGGGATTCACTTGGAAGCCTAAAACCTGGAATACTTATTCACCTGAAATACGACATATTTACCCCCCATGCTTAATAGACACAGTTGTTGCACCACTTCATTTCACTGCTGGTATGTTTAGACCAAGATGCAATAATGCATGTTAAAGAATTGGAGAGGTTATAACTGGTTAATTAGCACATTACATGTGTACAATTCAGAGTTTTGGGAATGTCTTTTTTCAGTGTTGAAATTTCTTGAATTTTTTTTTGACCAGCAGAGGTGATCACAGGGTAGCAATGTTGACTTGTGCTGGAGCACCGCTGTCTGCACTGTGTTGGCTGGTAGACTCCAGGAGTCCTGAGAGACTCTCAAATTTGCCTCCCTCTTGTGCTGTCAGTTTGGGTATGCTGGTGCAGTATTTGCTAAAGCTTTCAGCAGATGGCAGATATGTGAAGGTGGTGCACCTGCAATGCAGTGGTTTTGAGCTGTTTCACTTTCCTTTGTGGGGTAGAAAGTATATGATCACACAGATTCTTTTATCTGGACTGCAGATTTCATATTTTGGTAAGAACCGAAACCGGAATCTCAGAAGACAAATGAAATGCTTTGAAGCATACCTGGTATCCAAGTCATCTTGGCTGCTGAGGAAAAGACCTTCCTCTCTGCCTTTTACATCTTTCTTAGGTCTTAGGTTTTGTCTACAACTATTTATTGTTTAAAAATTGAATGCCAGTTGAACTGGGAACACTTAAATCAACAAGATGTGACTTTGTTTGACGGATGCAGTTATGCTTTTGGGATGAGAGGCTATTATATGTGATCCCCTCTCCACACTACTTATAGAGACATCACTGTGTCCTCGTCGAGCTGCTTCAGAGTTGAGCACTAGATTGTGTGGTTCTTCTTTAGAAGAACCAAGTGTTTTTGGCTTAGCACTCTGAACTTTACATCTGTTGATACGGCACAATGCAAACTCATAACTCTTTTGTAAAATACTGGAATTAAAAAGGGATAAGACCCTTCTTAAAGTTCAAACTAAAACCAGTCACATGTTTGAATGTAATTTTTTCTTTCAATCTGGGGGCGAAAACATTTTTACGTCGGAGAGAGAGTAAAGTAGTGTGTGTATTGCATGTACAGTGAAATGTACATGCAATCTTCTGTGGAATGCCTGTCCTAGGTTTTAAAATTTCAGACATAATAAGTTACTGCTGTAATTGCTACTCTGTCAGTGGCATGATGACAGTTACCACATCTAATACTGCATAACGTTTTGAACAGTAACAGGAAAATAGGTTCTCTACCTCTCTACTTTGTTTAGTTGAACTACATATTTTTGAATATGAATAGTAAAACGTTTTAAATAATAATAGCAGGGTATCAGAGAGTGCATGAAAATATATTTTACTTCTTAAAAACAGTTCAGCTACCAAATTTGAAAGACTCACAGACTGACTTTTTTATCTTCTTTTCACAAACAGAAATGTTTCATAGACAATTCCCAAGCATTATTAAATTATTCTTTTAAAACAAGATTTCATTTTAAAAGACTTGAAACATATAGACAGACTTGATCCTCCCTGAGGTGTCAGCTGAGGAATAGGAATCCTTACTTCTTCAGTTTTCTAATTCAAATCTAGCCTACATAGCCTATATAAATTGGCTGTTGTTATTGCTTCCCTGTTATTTGGCTGTTGAACAGGGCTTCCCAGCTCAAGTTCTGGCGGGGAATCATTCAGGAAGGGAGTCCTCTTTCTGCAGTGAGATCCTAATGCTGCCTCTTTGGACTTAGTTGAAGATGTGGCTAGGTTATGCTGAATATAATTTTTTTGGATGCTCCTTTGAAGCTATTATTTTTTTTTTTGTAGCTGTGTTGTGATCCAAGCTCCTAGATGCACAAGTCTGAATTAATCTAAAAATCTCGAGGGATGTGGTTGTACTGCATGCCGTAGATGGGATTACTGTCACTGATGCAGCCCTAAGTTTGCATGTTCTTTGAATAAACACAGGCTATTGTTCAAGTGTGCTAAAGGCTTGACACATTCCACATGTGAAAAAATATCATCTGGAAAAATGATCCATGTTTCTGCACGAATGTATTGTATTTACAGTAAGCACACCATGGAGTGGGCAAATACAGAGCAGCAGTAGGTCAGTTGTTAGCTCACTGGGCACTTGTCCAAATACAACTAAAAATGTTGACATTAAGTAATTTGGGGGTTTAATATTAACTACTATTTAAACGCCTCTGCTTGCACTGACCTACATGCCTAGTTTAAAAATTCTGGTATAGGTAATAGATTTGACATGTTCACTATGCAGTGGTTTGTGAAAGGTAATAGAGTGCAACTTTTTTCTAAAGAAGAGGAGCAAACAAATGCGCAATACTAAATATTGTCCTTTTTATTTATTTTCCAGATTAGCACTGTATGTATATGAGTATCTGCTCCATGTAGGAGCACAGAAATCAGCCCAGACATTTTTATCAGAGGTATGTTTCCCCATGCTTTTTTTTTTCTTACACAACTTTTCAGTGTGTGCGAGTGAACTAAATGTACATGGGTCTAGAATAAGGAGCACTGACAGCCTTTATGTTGATCAGCGTAGGTTTCTGGTTCAGTGGTAGCCGCTTTGTCATTTAACACACCTTTACATAAGTATTTTTGCTGTGATTTGTTATCCCTGTTCTACGATTTGCTAACACAGATTAATCTATTTTTTGTAATAAATGTGCATGCTAGAGACCGCGTCAACAGTGCTATTTTTTTATAACCTTATTGTTGATACCTCATTGTGAATTATGTACCCTTCCAAGTTATACAATGATTGTGTACTTTACAACCTGTTGTTACACACATGCAGTTCTCATTCTCTTTAGCACTGCTGAGCTCTCTGTGTATTCTTACTATGCTTCCCAACACTTCTTTTCATCTGGCAAATCAATTATGAGTGCAACCATTTAGGTCCTGTTTCTTAGACTTTAAACTGCTAATGGAATTTTCACCTTCACACAATAGTTACTGTTTCTCACAGTCTTTCAAAGACTCTGTATGCCTCTTTTGAAGATTGAAGTAAATTATGTCTCCTTAGCATTTTACACTTAATCTGAGATACAGAAATATTGTACACCAAACATATTGAGGTCTTTTATTACTGGTTTTAATGTTTATTTGATGAGAACCTTTAAGCTAATAAAAATAGTTTGATAGTTAGAAGAAGTGAAGAAAAATAGGCAAGATGTTTCACTAGGAGTATTCGCTGCTTCAGCTGATACTTCTCCAAAAGCTAATGAAATTACTGTGCTGGTGATGACATTTTGGAGGTGGGAGAGGGGAGGATGAGAACCCAGGTCATTGTTTGTGATGTTTATAAAGAATTCACATAGCAGAGATAAGGAAAAGGGGTAGAATTGTGGTGATATCAGTTTATGGTAAAGTATGTTTTTGACAGTAGCTTTTCCTCTTTGGTAAAGCAGTGGAAAAATAAGAGAGAAAATAATGGGAAGTATAATCTTGGCTTTCCCAAAACAGCTGTCATTTGTAAATAAAACACTATGCAATATTAATTTTGCTCATTTTGTTTTTAGGATATATTTGCAAAATAAGCAGTTGGCAGAAGTATAACTGGTGTGACATTTGGTTTCTAGAAAACATTCAGTACAGGGCTTAGAAACTTACTTAGCTTCTGAAAGTAACTCAGTGTTCAGTTATATTCTCAGGTCTGAATTCTGAATATAAGAATATAAAAAATCTTTCAAATTAAGACCGATAGTAGCCAAAAGATGGTGAACACTGCTCAGGGACAAATAATAGAGTTGGTATGAGATGTCAGATTTCACACGAAGCTGTGAGTTTATTTACCTCATTCCTTAGCAGTGCAGAAGGGTAAATACTATGCTGGCAATACTTATGAATGGTTGTAATCACTGATACAGAGAACCCTGGAAAAAATTGCATATGGGTGGACAGGTTCTAGTTGAGAAAACTGTGTACTAGTGTAGTTTGGAGAAACTAAACTAAAATGCAGAAGTTAAAGCGACAAGTAGTAGAAGAAGATTAAATAGTTCAGAGTAACTCTAAAACTGAATGTTGGGGTGTAAAAGCAGTAAGCATACATAAATTGTCTGAGCTATATAGCAGGCAGTGGTACCTATGTATGTATAAATGACAAAGACTAAAAACCTAACCCTCACTTGGACATGGTAGTCCTAAGCAGTCGTATATTTTTGTAGTGCTCTGTAACTAGTTTAAATTTTGTACGACTTATCCACAAGTTAAAGGGAGAATCTGCCCTATGAGGAAAGACTGAAGGAGTTAGGTCTTTTCTCCCTGGGAAATACAAGGCTCAGGGAAGACCTCATCATAGTGTTTCAGTACTTAAAGGGTGGCTACAAAGAAGACAGAGGCTTTCTCTGGAGAAGACAAGGAGTAGTGGGTACAAGTTGCACAGGGAGGGGTTTCATCTTAATACAAGAAAAAAATTGACTGAGTGGCTGTATGGTGCTTAGTTGCTATCTGGGGTTAAACCATTACTGTCCTTTTTGGTGCCACAAGGACTGTTGTGGTTTGACCCAAGTGGACAGCTAAGCCCCACACAGCCACTTGGTCCTCCCTATCCCCAGTGAGATAAGGGAAATAATCAGAAAAGTGTGAAAACTTGTGAGTTGATGTAAAGATAGTTTAATAGGTAAAGGAAAAATTGCACAGACAAGGAAAGCAAACTAAGGAATTCTTGTAGAATCACAGAATGTTTTGGGCTGGAAGGGACTTTAAAGGTTGTCCAGTTCCAGCCCCCTGCTACGGGCAGGTGCGCTTTCCATGAGACCAGGTTGCTCCAAGCCCTATTCCACCTGGCCTTGGACACTTGCAAGAATCCATTCACCACTTCCCATGGTCACGCAGTTCATTCACAACCAGGAAAGCAGGGCTCCATCATGTGTAATGGTGACTTGGGAAGACAAATGGTATCGAACCAAGCATTCCCACTTCATTTTTTTTCCCTCCAGCTTTACATGCTGAGCATGATGCCGTACGGTATGGGATATCCCTTTTGGTCAGTTGGCATCAGCGTTTCCAGCTGTGTGCCCCCAAGCTCCTTGTGCACTGCTAGCCAGCTCGGTGGTGGAATGAGGAGCAGAAAAGGCCTTGGTGGTGGTATAAGCACTGCTCAGCAATAATGAAAATGTGTTACCAACACTGCAGCACAAATCCAAACATAGCCTCATACTAGCTATTATTAAGAAAATTAACTCTCTACCAGTAAAAACAAGCACAGTTCTCTTGCACACAAAAGGCTGCACCAGGTGATCTTTCAAGGGCTCTTACAGTCTGAGCTTTTCTGTGATTCTGTGGTTCTATGAGTCAGTAGGGTCTAGGAAGTGCTTTGCTAAGCTTTAAAGTACAAGGTGGGCTGTGCTTTGTGGTCCTTGTGAGGACAGCCTTCAAAGCTTTGTTGTTTCCATCTCTGAAACACAGGGCCTAAAACTCATGTAGCATTTTCCTGGATCTCTTGGTAGCAGACCTTCAGTTTCTTGGCTATAACTCTGGTATCTTGGTCTGCAAATTTACTTCCTTTCACAAGACATGGCATGAAGTAACCCAGCAGCTGTATCGTATTGGTTTATAGTAGAATTGGCTGGAGCAGGAAGGTGGGCATTTCCCAGTTAATCAGTCCTCAGCTATGACCTTAATCAATACAGTTGTCAATGATGGCATTTTTCCTAAATTAATTCTTTATAATTCGTTCTTTTTAAGTCTCTGTTATCAGACAGAGTGACATCTGCCATGTGAGACAGAAGCATGGGTTTTTTTTTTAGTTTGAAAATCGAAACAAACTCCCTCCAAACAAGACCAAATTCTGCATTCCCTTCATGCTCCTTCTCTGAATAAATTTCTCAATATTAAATATGTCCTGTTAAAAAGGACTAGGATAAGATCTGTGAAATGGGTAATTTCCCTATTAAGCCCTGCTTTGAAGAGGAGGATACGGGTTAGACATAGTGAGGGCTTTATACACAGACATGATTTTAACTTTTAAGTGAATGATTTTTCAACTTCACTAACCGTTTTTTGTTTTGGTTGTATGCTGAATCTCTTCATTATCTTGCTTTTGAAGAGGTGCTCAGTATTCCTGGTGATTAACACAAGTCTCTCCAAGCCATTACCAGTGCATGTGAGAAGCAAGCATGCCTCAGAGAAGTTTATTTGAAGAGTGTGTAATACCTTCGCAGTAGCTTTGGCTTTTATTTGCATTTTTCATTTTTATAAATACTTTTATCTGCCAGTGCTTAAACAGCAGCTTTTAAAATGATGCTTTTTATATATTAACTACTGTTACTTGGTGGTTGTGAGGTTAAATGCCATGCAGTTGGATCATTCTGCTTTACCAACAGAAGTGGTAGTGCCTCGAGGTTACATTTTAAAAATACTTTTAAGAGACATTAGTTTCGAATATTTGCATTTATACAATATAGCAAAATTATTCTAGGCTACTCAATATGAGTACAAAGAACATTTTAAGGTATACAGGCTACATATTCTCCTCCAAGCTATTGGCAGAACTTGGATGTGTATAAATTTCTGAAGAATTAGATGTGGAAATCAAGTTGAGAATCAGTTTTATTCTCTTTTGGAAAATGCCAGGTTTACCAATGCCTCTAGCAGAATGAACACTATATCTGCCTTTTATAGAAAGCTTTTATGTACTTTTATAGATATGTCTTTAAATGTCTTTCATATTAAGGCTGTTTAAGCATTTCATTAAAACAATCCTCTGTCTGCCATTACTTCTGTCTCTAGAGCAGAATACAATTTGTTTTTTTTTAACAAAATTTTTATTAACGAAATTGGACAGGAAAGAATGCTATGTATAGTTGTAACTGGAGGAATTTGGAGTGCTTGCAACGCCGTAGTTTCTACCCAGTTCTAACATGAGGCATTTCTTCTGTACAGTGTTGTGTGGATTTCAGCAGTACTTTCAGTTACTTGCAGCAGAGTTCCTTCAGCAGTTGCACAGGGTTTATTATAGCCCAAAGTACTTTATTTTGCAGTTCAGGGCAAACTAATGACTATGGCTTCAATAAAATGGTCGTGTGATTATCACTAAGACACAGCATTTGGGAATCATTGCAGAGAGGCAGAATGCTGTTCACTGTGCGTTATGTTGTTTTATAGGTTTGCTGGTTAACAAGAAAAGTATGAAGTTAAGGGTAATAAGAGTTCTTAAATAGCATTTCCTTTGAAAACAGTTTTAAGCAAACTAGGCTTTCTGGGTGGGAAAGAAATCACAGCCAGCGTAGCTGTTCAGGAGGGGTTGCCAGCACAGACAAACCAAGCCAAACTATCATTGTCACTGCATGGTGGGAGAAGGAGTTATAGCTAATGTACCTCTAACAGTAAAGCATTCCTTGAGGATTATAAAACAGTGCCTGCTTTGGATGTGGAGGGAAGACTGCCACCTGCTGAATCAGTTACATTAGTTCTGTATTCTATGTTTTTCTTAGTTTTCCTTGGAAAATCTTTTACGTCATTTTAAGGGTACTTTTTAACACTTTCTTTTTTTTTTGTTCCATTGGTCATGCATTTTTGACCTTACAATAATGCGCATCTCAGTGGAGTGATACAAAGCACATTGTTAACAACATTGTATTCAGAATCTAAATAAAATAGAATCTAAACAAAAAATACTCTAAAACATGCTTTATTGAAGTAAGAAAACCTTAATTTAAGCATCAGCTATATTAGTAACTATAATGAAGTGATATGGCTGCTGAAATTGATGATGATAAAACCTTTCATAACTACAAAACCTTTTCTTCTTCCCCCCCCCCCCCCGTCTGCATGGATTATGTAATGCTTTTTAGTCACCATCATCAGAAACGTGCACCTCCATTTTTATGTTTTGTTTTAGATAAGATGGGAAAAAAACATCACACTGGGGGAGCCCCCAGGATTCTTGCATTCCTGGTGGTGGTAAGTATCAATTTTCTTTTCCTCTCACTTTCAGAATATGCCAGCTGCTAGTTCTAGCAGTTGGAGGCAAGAAATTCAGGTAAACATTGTAAAAGGAACATGAAGATGAGGATCAAGAGCCAGTTTCTTGTTAAGGAATGAAAAAAACAGAAAATTAGATATGGAAAAATATACAGATAATACATACAGGAAAACACTGTAGCGTGCTGATAAGAAAGCCGCTTTGAAAAAGGTGGTGTGCATATCTTTCTTCACCACCTTTGGTAAGTGGTGCATTTAAGAGATTATTCTACATATCCTAAATAATTGCATTAAAATAAACCTGTAAGTACAGAGACTCTGCATACAGATGCGAGTTTCCTCAGCATACAGTCCACATTCTAGTCACGGGAATAGGATTTGACAGAAATTAGCTGAACTCAAGCTACTAGCCTTTTTGGGAGGCAGTGTGCATTAGCATGGGCTTGGTGCTGCAGTGTCTGCATTTGCAGAGTTTCTCTCAGCTCAGAAGATGAGTAGACATGAGGATGACTTGTAATTTTTTATGCATGGTGGCATGTGCTTACATATACTGGTGTGCAGAGACACACCAGTTTGTGTGTGTAGAATTCCCAAGGAGAGAAGAGCGTTCACAGTCAGTGCTGTTTAGCTGTGATATTTATTAGTTGTCACCTGATTGGAATATATCCAGTATACCTGTGTTTGAAAGAATTGCAGAGAATATATCCAACTATCAGGAGTACAAGAAATTAACATTTTTAAACATTTTGAACCCAAGTGATTTGTACAGCTGCATGGAAGGTGTATATGACACCTTCATTGACCTTTCTTTCACAGCTTTTAGCTATGTGATGGGAACCTGTCTAAGAAAAGTGTGTCCCTTGTATCTCTGATGTCTGCATTATCCTTAATTTTGCTTGTCTGCATCAGAGTGCTGAAATTGCCCACATTCCTTATTACAATGCTGGACTGAGTTACAAAGGATTAAGTCTAAACCAATAGAAAAACACTCTGAAACTCTTGCAAAAAGAAAAAAATCCTTTCAAGTTGTTTTTTCATACACATAGTTTCATTCCAGAAACTCTGTGTTGGAACTGATACATGTATAACTCTATTTGAAGGGGAGAAAGACCAGTGGGAGCACTATAATTTCCTTTCACTAACAAGAACATAACCATCTATTTCCTACTCTTGTCCACACACACCTGTTTCTCTGGGAACTTTAAAGGCCTGTGTCGGACCTTGGAAGAGCTCCCAATTTTCTCTCCAGTTTCTTGCCCTTTCATGTTACTACAAATCCATCCCTTCCCACACTTTGTGATAGTTAATTGCAGCAGTTGTCAGAGGGATGAGGTTAAATGCAAATCTTCAATAATACACTTTATACACTTGAACGTTCTATATTAGACTATCTTCCTGGTCTGTACTACAGTGGTATTAAAGGAATACAGCACTGCTTTCCTCATAGAAGCAGATATCAGGACTTGAATTCTCATAGATGTTTTGCAAAGCTAAATTCTTTCTTAAGAGTCAAGTGTTTTCATCCCTTGGCAAGGAAGTGGTATGTCTGTTTCTATATATGAACATGCATGTGTGGTGTGCATACACCATAAAATCTGTACGAGTACTACAATGATCTTCTCACCATCTCTGTATCTTGTTAACTTGCAGTGTATTTTGGGATCTGTACTGTGCAGCTCCGGAAAGACGAGAAACATGTGAACATTCAAGTGAAGCAAAAGCCTTTCATGACTATGTAAGTTTTGTGTGTCTTTACCACACTCTCATTAATTGTATGTATAAATACAACAGAGAAATATTTTTTGCAACACAGTGGTTCAAAACTGTAGGTGTCATATTTGTAAGTTCTCAGTTTTTTGGGAATGCCTTAGAATTAGGAATGCCTAATGCTTTGATTGCCCAGCAACATAATAACTCCTGTAAGCTACCTCAGAGATCAAAAGTGCTGTCCTGTGTGCTAATGAAAAACGAAGAATGTTCTTCTGTCCACCCCACCGTGAACACATCAGACTGGTGACAAAGGCACAAGGCAAATGGAAGCACAGATGTGTCCTGTCCAAATATCTGTCCTCTGTTGATGCTGAAGAAAAAGCAGATGGAATTGATCCTCTTGCCTCTGTCAGGGTCATACTCACTTAAAATGTAGTTGTTTTCCAAGTATTTTTGTGTCCTGAAGTAGGTGTTTTTCATCAGCATAATAAACACGTAGGTGCCATAGAGTAAGTTAAATGTAAAATCATGTGGTCCAAGAGAATGGGAGGAGTAAAGGGCAAAATTATTATGCCACTTTTGATGCTTCTGAAACTTAGTTCAAATCCCAGCAGAGAGTTTGTTGGTGTTTTGCCTGCAAGGACTAATAATAATAATAATGATGGTGGTGATGATGATTAATAATAATGATGATTATGATGATGAGGAGGTTGTTGATGATGACAAGAAGAAGAATAATATAAATAAATAAATAGATAGACATGTTACTCTAGAAACTAGGGTCCAAAATGTTGTAACAGTTTCATTCCACTTTCTCCATTCTCATAGCATAAATGGAGTTCCCCAGAAATGTGTAGCTTCATTCCAGAGTTAGGATGGAATTCAGTTGGATTCCTTTACTACATGAGCTTCTGTCCATCTGGTGATTTCATTTTTACTGACAAAATCCTTTACTGACCGTGCTTGAGTTTATCGTTCAACTCTGAAGTCTCTTTCCTTGAGTGTTTTCCACTGTCTCGGAAATCCTGCCTACTTGCTGCAGAACAATATTTCTACAGATAAAATTAAAGTTACAGTGCCATATCCCAATGTCTTACAAAAACAGATTTGGAAAACTGGAAATGAATCACCTACGTGGCCATTTTCCTTTTTCTGTTGTCAGAATCTGATAACATCTTGACATCCCACTGTATGTGAGTTAATGTTGATAACTTATTTGTACTTGGCAGTGACTTACATTGTAAACATCAACACAGCTGGAACCGTTAATACCCTAACTGGTAAAGGCTAACTAGTAAATCAGCTTGGACAGTTTTGCACAGTCATGCCTGGGCTACATTTACCACTAGTGATAATTAACAAATAAAAGTGTGTCAGAGGGAGGAGCAGAGTTATAAGGAAGTCTTCCACCCACAGAGGTGTCAAGGTCAACCAACTTGGTAAAGCGTATTCTTTAAGTAACTCTTACAACTACAGTTGCTGCAATCTTTTTTACCTGTTCCGTTATCAGAGCATGGTTTTATTCCCTACTGAAGTATAAATAGTTTTACAGTAATAGTCGATGTCTGCAGGGAATGACATCAGTGAATTAAATCTGTAGAGATAAGAATCCAGAGTATGATGGTTGACTTAAGTGGGGAGCATTATGCATTCAAAATATAAAACAAAAAGCCCAAAATCTGAGAGATGTAGATGTTGTGAAATAGTTGCAAAACAAATTGATCAGTGAAAGGAATTTTTCAGTGAAGAAGAACTTAGAAATATAAAAGGGAGTGGAGCCTACTATTCTTTAAACGCATGAGAGTTTCATTGATTGCTGTTGAATCTAAATTTTGAGATACACTGAGAATTTGAGTAGGTGAAGCAAAATAACAGCAAGTAAAAAAATATTGTGCTGGCATCACCCTTCCAGTGTTTTTAACTTCTACAGGTCTTGAAATATCACATGTCCTTGTTGCTCAGTTCTGTCTGCATTATGATGTGTATTACGATGTATCTGTGTGTGGTACAGTTTTGTGATTGTCTGGATGTTTAAGTTACTGTATAAAGTCATGTCTGATGAAGGGTAAATAAAATCATGGTATGCTTCTACATGCTTCTAGAAGACTAGCAGGGTTTTCCTTGGACTCTGTAATGCTGTCCTGGAAAAGAGTGCCTGTGCAGTTCCCTCTAGTATCAGCTCTGCCTAATCAAGAAAACTGAGTCTCAACTTGTCTGTGCCTAGCAGTCTGTACTTCTGAGTCTGTTCTTGGCTATTTGCGTAAACAACAGTAAACCCAAATTCTTTTCACTAGCTGTCATATAAACTTTCTTATATGTATGTGCATACAGGTTTCTTTCTATAGTAGCATCTTTGTTCTGCAGAGAAAGAGTTTGGAAGTGTTATTTCATTGTGTTCAGACTGTACTAATACAACTTTTGGTATTTATCAAGCTAATTAGAGAAGAATCTTTCATGTCTGACAGCAGGAACATGAAGTGACTGCAAGGTGGAGGCTGTAACTGCTTGCAGTACTAACAGTGTTCATCAGTACTAAAAATGCAATAAATAGAAAAGCGAAGGCCTATTCTGACTTTAAAAAGGGGATTTTCTGTAGTCATTCTGGTGCTTTAAGTATTTGCAGGTCCTCCATATTATCTAAAAGGGACTCTATTTTTATTTTCTATTAAGACTTACTTGGAAATGTTTTCTTCTGAGTGATCAAGATTCTGAACTCTTTAGGTACATTTATATATTTTTAGGCTTGAAAAGACATGCGTGTCATGAAAGTCACTGTGCTGGATTAGGGAGATGGGTCCTGGCCTGGAAGTTTTAATGTAAATGATTTAGAATTAGAAATTGTTCATATTTTAGGCAACTCAAGAAAAAAAAGTGGTGCTTGCTCACCTAGGCTATTGGTGCTGCAGCCATTGTGGTAGAAATAGCTTGTCTGGAGCAGAAAAGCCCCTGTGTTTCTTTTCCAGGTACTTATTACTTTTCTTGGAGGAAGACTTCTGTGTGCTTTGAAGTCCTGTGAAAAATCATTTACATAGATGTTCTGAGACAAAATTTAACTGTCACTGTAAAATGGGTTTTTCTTTCTTTACCTCTTCATCTCTAGTTAAGATCTCATTTTTCTAGGTTTTGAACTGAAATCTTCTGTTGAAAGAAGCAGGTTCCAATGTTCATCTTGTTTCCTGCCTTCATTTCGCTTCTTTACAACATGAAAACATACTGGGTCAGAAGGGGGGGATATAAAATATAAACCTTGTGATTACTTGGAGAAGAAGAATGATGACTTTTCAGCAGCACCCTTACCAACGAACTTCTGACTGCCACAAGTAACCATTCTCCTTTTCCTCAGGCCTGGCCATTCACCCACATCTCTGTACCCTGGGTGTGGGGAGGGATACCTGAAAAGTATTTCTTTACAAGATTATTTCTGTACGTAACAGTTAAGATCTTTTTATAGTCCAGTGTCCCTCTCTCATGGTCCTTACAATGGAAGCTCTTCCATGTGGTGTTTGTGCAAAGAGGGATCCATTAATTCTCACAAGTAAAATTTTTTTAGTAAAATCTTGATTATTTTTCTAAAATCTACTAAAAATTTACTTTAGTAAAATCTTGATTATTTTTCAGGTAAGATTTTATTGGTGTTTTCCTCACAGCTCTTTGAAAGATCACTTCTGATTTGAGTAAGGGTATCTTGTTTGTTTTTATGGGCTCCAAAAGAATGCCAGGAAATTTGCAGGATAAGAAAAAAGACATTTGTTGCCCTAGAGACTGTACAGTCTCATAAGCTGATACCATGTTTCCGCCTGACTTGTTAGCTGTATGAAAAGGAGTTTAGCTTTATCTGAGGGTTGTAGGGTGTATTAAAGACTATGCTATAATCAGTTCTGTCCAGATTAGTCCTTTTAAAGGTCATAGTGATATAAATCAAATTTTCATAGAAGTTGTTTGGCATGGTGTTTGGACATTTGGATGGCTGGTAAATCTCTTTGTGAGTCTTTCATAAGAACAAGTTGTGTCTCTGCACTTTGCAGAGTGCACTTTGCACTTATGATTAAAAAAAATTAACCACTTTCTTCTCTGGACCCATCTTCCTTCAGCAGAACTGAGGCATTTGCCTGCCCTAAATGCCCCAAACCCCCTCATTTATCGTTAGTAGTACTTGGAATTTGAGTGGTTATGAATATTTTTACATCCTTTTTTTGGACTGAAGATTGCCATGAAAGACCTGGGAGAAGATGTTCTCTGAAGGCATGATTACACATTAGTTGGAAGTGACTGTAAATCTCAAGCCTTACTTTCACACAGCACAGTGAAACTCTATTCTGCAATGAGGATAGATTTAGTTTAGTTTCATTAAACTTGTTTTTACTTCTGAAACCCACACAAAACCCTCTTTTAGGTGCAGATTTTTGTTGATCTAAATGCACAGAAGCTTACTCTGTTTCATAATGATTTTTGAAATTTTGTATTTTGTTGCTGAATGCTCTGGGTGCTCTGAACTCATGCTTAACTTAAACACAGTCTTTTCCAGGTAGTCTATCACAGGAACTACTCCTCTGCCTTTTGTGTCTCAGGGATGGAAGAACTTGTTTTAGCTGTTGATTTTCTTGCCTTCTGTCCTGGGTTCAGCAGTAGCAGTCATGTTTCTCCTTCTTGGTAGCTGGTGCAGTGCAGTGTTTTGACTTTCGGCTCGGGAACAGAGCTGATAACAATGATGTTTTGGTTTGGCCAAGGACTTTGTGAGCCTCATGCTCTGCCAGGGAGGAGGGGAAGCCAGGAGGAAGCAGAGACAGGACACCTGACCCAAACTGACCAAAGAGCTATTCCATACCACAGCACGTCATGCCCAGGATGTAACTGGGAGTTAGCCGGAAGGGCTGGGAGACTGCAGGGTTGGAGGAGGTATGGGTCAGAGCTTGGTTGGGCTTGGGGGGTGAGTTATCGGTCGGCTGGTGGTGAGGTGTTGTATTCTCTTCCCTTGTTATTTCCTTTATCATTATTATCATTGGTGGTAGCAGTAGTGATTTGTGT